ACTCGAGAAATAACACACTCAGATGAAGGAAAACACTGGCATCACCAACCAACCGTATACCTAGCAGTAGTAGTAGTAGTAGTAGCAGCAGCAGCAGCAGCAGCGGCAGTAGTAGTAGTAGTAGCAGTAGTAGTAGTAGTAGTAGTAGTAGTAGTAGTATTAGCAGCAGCAGCAGCAGTAGTAGCAGTAGTGCCAGTATCAGTAGTCGCAGCGGTAGCAGTAGTAGCAGTAGCAGCACCCGACGGTTGTCGGCAGTCGTAGTAGTCGTGTGGTCGTATTCATAGTCGTAGTCGGAATAGGAGTATCAGGAGCAGCAGCATTACCAGTAGCAGTCGTGGAAAGGAATATTAACCACTGTTGAGAAGTACCAGTAGTCGACAGAGTGGTCTCAACCACGAATGGAATCACAGTTGGACTCGCCGATCAACCGCGGCAACACCGAGACAAGGTGTGCTTCGAGTGTTTTCGTACTCATTTCTCCCAACTTCTCTCCGTAGAGGAGTCCCAGACAGTGCCGGTCTGCCAGTGAGCCGAAGGTTCGAAAGAGAAATTTTAAGGCTCTCTTGGTGCCTTGGTGCTGTCCGCTGTGCCAGAAGCTGCCACTACCACCAAACATGGTTGTGGTGACATTTATACGGCTAGTCTCGGGCATGATTCAGTTTTACTGTCATGACATTCTTTTTCTGAGATGCTGGGGTCATTCGGAAAAGAGTTGTCGCTGGTTTGGCTTGTCCTGCATGATTCTGTGCAAGTTCAAACCTTAATCTCGTCATACTTGCGCAGTTGGGCAACACATCAGACATGGACGCTAATGCAATCTACACGGTATGATGACGCAATCAACGTAATGCTCATGATCAGGGTGAATAGTATCACCAGAAAACCAATAGAAGGGGTAATGCAGATGCTTAAAGTTCCGGTACCCTGCCGAAAAAGAATGTCATGAGCTTACCTGATGCTGAGGCAACTTGTTAACGGCCACAACGGCCGAGAGTGTAAAAAAAAAGGAAGTCATCAGCTTTCTGGGTCCTCATGCCGCGAAGTTGATCTTGTGGGGTTTAGGCCTGCTCTGAGACTCTGACTCCATTGGCTTTTCTGAAGATTCCTCAGTCAGGTGCTCGGGGGTGATAAGTTTGCCTACCAAGTCACCGGACCGACTGGGAGCTGCTGGAAAGGCTCGGGGGGGGGGGAACTTGGAGCTGATGTCCTCCTGGTGGCTTTGCCACCTGGTTGTCATGACGATTCTGACTATCAAGATGGTGTTCAGCTCTTGCAAGTCAGACTCGTCTGGTTTGTTGCTTTCACCTCGGCTGCTAGGCTCGCGAGGCGGAGTTTACCAGGACTTGGCGACGGAGCCAGCGCCCGAGTGCTCCCGCCGACTCCTGCAAGCTCTTGCTTCCTGAAGCCAAGGATGGGATTTACCTACGAGTTGACCTACAAGCTGACTCCTGACTCAGCTTCAGGGCTAGTTTTTCATCGGCTTCAGTTTCGCCTTACGTTCCAGGAGGAACCTTGGGATGCGGCAGTGCCCCGCCTCGTGTAGGACGGACGGTCCCCTACAAGTAGGGCTCGGGAACGCACAAAATGCAGAGTCTAGAGTCCCCTAAGGATCGATGGTTACTTCGACAAGAAGGATAGCAAAGAGGAGAAGAGCTGGGTGCCTTCCCGAGCTGATGTGTGGACATGACCACAAACCAGAGGAAGCATCTTGGGACCAACCCCAAAACCGCAACCAAAGACTCAGAAGCCTTTACATAAACCCCAAACCGAGTTCTACAAAACCCTGAACGGGGACGTGTTAATGTGGTGCAAAGAGGGAATCCCCTTTCATCAGCAGCCTCCTGCCACCCACTCCCTCAGCCAAACTGGCATTCCGGCTTCGAGGGACACCGCAGACGGAAAAAAGAGAGGCAAACAAGGACCTAAAGCTTCTTGAGGTGGACTAGGGAACTAGGCCTGGGCCTTGAAAGCCTCAAAGTGTGTGGCTGAGGCTCTAAGAATGTAATTATTTTATAAAGAATCGGCCCTTCTGGTCTCTATAAAGCCATGCTGCAATACACTAACGTACAGGATATACCGTTTTGTCACTCTAAGCTACACGGCAACCTTCCTTGCGCTCGCCCAGTGCTGAGGTGGAGGTGCAGAGCCCGGTAGGCCACCCTGTGCTGGACGAGGAGGCATCCACCTCCAACTCGGCGAAGGCGGTCTGTTGGGCGAGAGGTTTAGGGTTTCGGCCTTGGGGTTTAGGATTTAAGGCTTGGGGGTTTAGGGCTTCGGGGTTCAGGGTGTAATGAGGACGAGGCTAGAAAGATGTCAGCAAGAAAGTGTCCGTGGACAAGCAAATGCATAAGCCGGGTATGTATAGATAAAGACATGTCTGTAAGTAGAAGTATTCACATGGCAGAAAGCGTATATGAGTGTTTACATACATATACACACAAACACATGTGTGTGTATACATAGACAGATATATAGATGTGTATATCATATAGATAGAAATATATTTCTATATCTACATGTGTATATATATATATATAAGTAAGTACTTATATATATATATATTCTGGTTCCACATCTGTCGTCCGTGTATTTGTGTATGTTGAGAAGTGCGTGTATGATACGGACCTTTGCATCTCGAGCCGGAGCTGCATTTGACCTTTTGCTCCAGCCCACAGGAGCCAACCAAGGGCCAGTGGCAGACGAAAGGCCCCTACACGCACCGGGCCCAGCGAAGGGAGCATCGCCCGTCAAGGATGTCCTTGGCCCTTTCAGTACGATACAATTGATATAATACAAGACGCTAGAGCATATTTTCACGTAAAATACATTTTCATATAATACAGAATAATGTAGCAGATTGTGCTGGCGTTTACCCTCCAAGATTCATCGCTGCGGGGAACAAGTCCCGGATCTTTTTCTACACCGGCCATGCCCTCGGATGTTTTCTTTGTGGGGCTTTCTTGAGTTTCGGGCGTGCCTTAAAGTAGATTGTGCTATATCAACGTTTTTACTTGGCAGTTTGGTACTTTCCAGCCGTTTACGGTGCCTTTGGGATAAGTCTGCTTCTAGAACCCGAAACCCGAAATCCCCAGAAGTCTCAAGCGTTCACCTCAAGACCGACCCTCAGCCCTAAACCCAGGTGGCACTGCATGTACCAGCATCGACGATGTGATCGTCAGGAAGACCAAGGCCATCTTACCCGTGTAAAATCCCTTGCCGGAAGACCCTTGCAGAATCCTGAATGTGCAATCCTAATTCTGCTAGGAAGACGATACATCCGGTACTGGTGGAATTGAACACTTGCTGGTGCGCATGCTAGCCGCAGACCGCCGGTTAAGGCTTCTACGCGGACAGGCAAAGTGAGCAGAGTCAAAGAGCACGGCTAGTTTTGAGCGAGGCTCACTCCTGGCCAACAGCGCCACCAGAGAGAACAGCCCATGTCAGGATCCAAAATACGTCGTGTACAATTTCGCCCACCTGATCAACGATGGCCACTTCATGGTGACTTGACTTAAATAGGTATTTTGATGCCTCTTACCGTCCATGCAAGCGGAAGCACGTGTGATCATGCGCATACACCTGCCTGGCCTAGTGTTTGTAAAGGTGCAAAGTCGGAGGCATATGAATACGGCATGCGCAGGGAGTTCCCGCAGATTTCTGCAGCCACCAGGTCACCAAAGGCGCCTTCCCGAGCAATGCCTCCGACAACTCCAGCGACGGCAGCTCCTTGCAAGTGTTGAAGGCCTCTTGGGCAGGCTGTCGTCACTAAAATTTCTATACTACATACAATTACAATGTGTTATGGTCGTTTTTCTAGGTACTTGGAGGGAATCGAAGCAATACCACGAGTGCGCACACTCACAGGCACACACACGCACACATATACATAGAAATATATAGAGATATAGATACAGATACAGATACATAAAGAAGTAAACAACTAAATAAGTAAATAGATACATAAGTAAATAAATAAATGAATAAGCATATATATATATATATGTATATTTACGTATACATATATCTGCGTAGGTACCTTCAAGGGGAAGTATCCACGTGCCCCCGTACCTACCGACCGACGTACCCACACACCGATGTATCTATGAATCTACTTATCTGCCTGCCTGCCTGCCTACCTACCTACCTACCTACCCACCCACCCACCGACCTATCTACCTACCTGCCTGCCTGCCTACCTACCCGCCTACCTACCTACCCACTTAACCTCCCACTGACCCACCTCCATTCATACGTACATATACGTACCTACATACATACATGCAGGCCTACAAACATGCGAACCAACACGGAGAGAGAAAGAGAGAGAGAGCGAGAGAGGTCGTAGCCCTGGCGAAAGAAAGAGAGAGAGAGAGATGTCTCATGCGGTTGCGTTCGGGATCAGGTGGGGAGGCAGGTAGGTTGGGTTAATCCGGTAAAGGCGATGGCAGAGCTCAGCCTGGCAAACCCACTAGCTTGCTTTGGAGCTTAGTGTTGCGTGTTGCTTTTGTTAGATGCTGGGCCTCTGCCATCCAGGGGAGTGGAGCTCCCGCTGGTATCCCAAAAGGAAGCGCTGGATGACCCCAGTGGTGCCTCAGAAGGTTTCCTATGGTCATGGTCTTAGCAGGGGTGTTTTGGGGGAAGGGATTGCAAAGGCACACTGGGGGGAACAGATTTCCTTCCCCAACAAGGGGCAGTTCAGACGTACAAGCGCGGACCGTTGAGGGGTTGGCCTACGGGCCGGGGGCTTTGCCCCAAACCCCCAGCAAGCAAGCAAGCAAGATATCTCATGCAAGGTGCGGGAGCACTCATCATGTTTTCTAGTGTTGTATTCCTGTTCCTGCTTCGCTCACCACCTTGCCGCTCTGGAGGGGATGCAGTTCCTGAACAGCTGAGCCCCCTGAGGAAAATTCCCAGGGGCAAAAAGCAAGACACCCACGGACTGCGGGTGCGCGCGTGCGCGCGGGAGGTCAGGACGCACCTAGTCTCCAGCCTGGTAGAGAGAGAGAGAGAGATCTCATGCCCTGGGGAAGAAGGAAGAAGAGAGAGAGAGAGAGAGAGAGCGATATATATTACATATATATATATGTACATATATATATATGTAATATATATATATATGTGTACATATATATATATATGTAAAAAAATATATATATATATATACACACACCTTTATAAGAAAACATTGGTAACAAACGGCTGCGAATAGATAAGCACACAACCAGGTCTGTAGATGGCGGCGGGTGCATAGCGCGCCGTGCTACTTTCCCGGGTTTTCTAGCAGTTTTAGATACTGACTCCATGGGTTCTAAGGGCGACCATGCTCAAAGCACTGGTATTTACTGCGTTTCTGCCACTATATGCAACATACTGCAGAGGATGTTTGATGCTGATGCACTGTCACAAGCGTTCATGCCGTGTGCGAGCATTCCCAGACCACTGGTATTTACAGTGTTTCGCAACTTGATACAGCAGACTGCAGAAGGATGTCTGACTTTGCTGGCGCAAGATGCACTGTCACAACCGTTCATGCCTTTTGTGCGAGCTTGCCCAAATCACAGGTAGTTACAGCGTTTTTGCCTCTTTGCAAAGACGATGATAATGAAGAAGATGACGATGGTCACTACCAACAATGAAAGTGAAGTGTAACCCTGTCCAACTTAGTGTAGTTTCTGGCGGTCGATACAACCCTGATCAACCCCGTTTCTTTGTAAACATCGTGCTAAGACCTCGGCTCCGAATGCATAGTAACACGCTGCGCATATTCACCTGCACCCATAGAGATACCTGGGTTATCCTGCCTGCTCTCATGCTACCGCAGGGGTATGGCCGTCATCAACCGAAAGCACGGTCCTAAACCTTGCAGGACAACGTGGTGATCATGAAGCCGTCGGAGGCCACGGGACAGCTGGTGTCTTTGAGCCTCGAAGATCTTTCCAGGAAGCCAAGGTGCAAGAGGGCTTGGAAAGAGTTCTGTGAGGCTTTACGGAAGTGTTTGTAGGGTCTTTTCCTTCAGGCATTGAGGGTTCTTGGCTTTAGGGTTATTTTGGAGTTACAAAAGCTTAACTTTTGTGTTGCCACTCTATGAAGAATGCTGCAGATGGAAGTTCGTCATTGGCACTGAAAGACGGCGAGGGTCCCATGGTCCCATTTCTTAACGCAGCTAAACTCTTTTCGGTAGCAACAGCGAGCCCGATGAATATGGGCAAAGAAGGGATGCCGAGTCTTCGCATGGGTGATTCCGGGAGCATCTCCCTTCAGAACTCTGCTCCGCCAGAAAGCCGGGGACGCGAGGGAGGCGTCGCGTGGAGAAAATGATCTTGATCCTTGGCCGGATAAGCGGATCCCCCTGAAATCTAGACCTGGCCGTGAATGGAGCTCTGAGAGGTGTTTTGGGGGAAAACTCCCAGTTGTGAAGTCAGGGATCCTGCGCTTGGAATATCTGTCGCCTGTGCTGAGGGGATGAGACGGCAGCCGGAACTTGGTAATTGATGCTAAGATCCCTTCTGTAGCACCTGCCTAAGTATACAGTTTACAGTACTAGAAGGATGGCAAAACCCCAGTCGAATTATCAAGAACCCTACATTGGATTTTTCAGGATGTGAACACGCTGCAGCTCACGGGCGGCGGCTGCAGCCGCGTTTCTGGCTTTGTGAGGTGACTCGGCCCGCTTTTGTCCCAAAGCCTTCGTTCTGCGAAGTGCCACGGGTCGCCGGAAGGTACACACCTAAGCCGCTGTACAAGTACGACGAGAAGGAGCTGAGGCTTGCCAGCACTTCAATTTCGCACGAAAGAGGCATCTTTCCTTCTGATGATAGGAAAGCTGACCCTGTTCTCCTTTTCTTCGCAATACTTGGGTGCCAACTTCGTGAGGTCTTTATCCATGAGTTTGCAGCAGTGCTTTTGGGTGGCAAGTGGATGCCAACCGAGGATGAATGGCAGCGTCTTAAGCAGTGTGACGCCTGGGACCAAGCTGTGGGGCAATGGCTGAATATGTGGCCCAACTCACACGAAGACATGATTTTTGGGATGCTGTAGCCCAGAGTCTCCAGAGCACTGCCTAGCGGAGGTTTGAGGTGCAGGAGCCCATCGGCAATCCCGTCAATCCGCCAGTCAACATCGGCGTTGCGGGGCCCTCTGGCCGATGGCCGTCCCACATGCAATTGGGTGCCTTTGCATGATTTGCGGTTCGGGGTTCAAGTCTTCAGCTGCATGTTCACTGAGACTGGCGCGGTGATCAACGCCGTCTTGGATCCCTCGCCAGAGCACCTCAGAATCAGGCGGTCTGAGGGATAAAGACCCGGTTCTTGCTTCCACTCCGATCCGATCTGTCTGTCGCAGGGTGAGGAAAGAAGCCAGTGTGAAGAGCAATGACACGGAGAATGTGCCAGGAGCCCAGCCCGACGTCGGCTTCCGACCTGTTCCGGAGCGATCTACTTAAGCGTTACAGCAGCAAGAAATCCTCAAATCCCAAATCCACAGCCCCAAAAGCCTAAAGGCCTAAACCGACAACCCTGAATCCCAAAACCCTGAGTTTCTCGGAATCGTCCACCTTCCAGGGTCGAGGCGCAGCTCTACTTCTTCTGCAAGGCCGAGGGGTCTTCCGGGTATCGGGTGTTCCGCCGGAGATGCTGTGCTGGTTGCAGGGCGGCGACCGCATGAGCTACCGTTCTGGATGGAAGCTCTTCACGTACCAGTTCGCAGGCAGCTCCCGGTTGTTCAGAGTTGGCCACCACTTCGTGGCGCCTGTGCTCAGAACAGGCAATGAAGGGCTCTGCCTTTCCATGGGGGCGCGCGACAGCATGGGAATGGGCTGCCACGAGGTCAGCTGCAGGCCGGGAGGCTGAGAAAATCTCCGTGTCCGGAGAGCTCTGGGAGAGCCTGAGCAGGAAGAACCCCATCAGCGACGCCAGCCTCCAGCCCTGCAATGAGGAGGCCCGGATGTGGAACTCATGCTTCTGGCGCCGCAGCATTGCTGACACAGCACTAGGCTGGTGCCCGCCAGTCCGATCCATGGAGTCTTTGCACACTCGGTACGTCAGCCTAGGCACAGGACTGGGCGCAGAACTTCTACCCAGAGGGCCCCTTGGTACGCTCGGCCTCGCCTGCGGAGCGCTGTGGGGGGTCCCAGGCTTCCGATCGCTTCTGGTTGCTGTTGAATGCCGCTTGTTGAGCTCCTGCAACGGATTCACGGATTCTCTAGCAAGCGAGCAGTTCTTGCTCCCCCCCTTCCCCTCCTCCTCCTTCTACAGTAGTTCCAGTCCGAGTCTGACTCCCTCTGCTCCGAGTGTTTTTGCTACACTTAGTACGGCGATGACGACGACTACTACAACAAACCATGAATGGGCACGCGTTCGCAAGGAATTAGGATTCTGACTTGCAGACCGCAGTGTTACGGGGTGCTATTCAAGACAGGCAGGCAAATTTAACCACAGGCTGTCGAAGCCTTGCGCTAGTAGGGAGCTATCTTCTTCCGTTATCAGGTGCGTCTTTGGGCTCCTAGGGATGCTATGAGCGATGGTATCTTGCAGGAGCTTGCCAGCTTGCCAATTATGTGCAATTTTGGATCATTTTCTGCCTGGGTGAGCGGTGACTTCCTACCCAGGTCTGGCAGTGGATTATTCAGCGCATGTGGAGTGGGGCGCCCAGGGGGGAGGGAAGGGAGTATGTTATAGTAAAAACTGTATATACAAGCATCATGCAGCAGCTGAGGGTGACCTGCACTCTTAGAACGCCCTTTGCTCAATGCGGGCGGAACGGCTTACCGTTCCTTGCTATACCAGACTATTACTGTACCATAACATACGGTAATATATACCTGAAAACAGTGTTGCATGGCGTCGTGATGCTCTCCGAGGCCTTGCAAGCCCCTGACGCTGAAGATGTGCAATGAGTCGGACCCTGGGCAACGTTGGAGCATCGTTGGTGGAGACTCTGCTCAGGCCGGGACCGCCTTTATGGCTTTGGTTCCAGTTTTTGCGGTAGCCACTAGAGTCACTAGAGTGGCTCATAGTATGATGGTACGTCATAGTATGTAATGTCAGAGCACGCTCTTATAGTAGATCATGGTATGGTCCAGTATATTGACGAATACTATTGTGTTGTGCATGGGGGGGAAATCAGATGTTGGGCTGGGGAGGGTGTAGTCGATGCGTTTCGTCTCTGCTTCTGGGTTTTCGCCGGTCTGTCAGGAACAAAGCCCTGCTCCCTGAGAGTCATGGCATCATCTGTGCCCCTGGCTTCCCCAAGCCCGCCATAAAGCCCCGCATAAACCCCTGCGACACAGAGTCCTGAACTTCAAACCTGCGGCCTCCACAAGCCCAAGCTCCAACTCTCGGCCTTCCAGAGGATGCGGCGCTGTTGAAGATGGAGGATGGTCTGGTGGCCTCCACCCCCAAGGCCCGGTGCGTTCGGGACGTGGAGGCCTCCGTCTTTGATTCGTGCAGAAACCTTGAGAAGGGCTTGTAAACAGAACCTCCCTCCAGGAGTGGGCTTGTGGTCTGCTAGCTGGCAGGCGAAAACACAGCTGGCCTCCTTCGACATGCTGATCCAGGTCCCGGTGAATCCTGTTTCCGTGCCCAAGTCCAACACACATCCTCTACGCACACACACACACACAGATATATATATATACATACATATATATATATATACACATACATACACACATACACACACACACCCTTATATATATATATACATACATACATTCACATGTATATATACATGCATACAGTACACACGCACATGGACATCTCCATCTACATATACCTATACCTGTACATATGTATATATATACACATGTATATATATATATATACATCTGTGTATATATATATATACATACATACATACATACATGTATGTGTATATATACACACATAATTCACATGTATCCTACATTGTATGCACACAAGTAGTTCGTACATACGTGCATACACAGCATACAGATGTATCTACATATACCAAGTATACATCTGCTACGCAAACAAGTGTTTGTTGCCAAATCATCCAACAAGCACGGGCACTACTAGTACACATCGTGTTGAGCAGCTTGAACTTGCAAGGTTTCCATCGGAGCGCTACGAGGTATTTCTGACTTGGCTTATCTGTCCTCTTTCCGGTCGCACCTTGCGGAAAGTTACAACCTTGCCGAGTCCAGGCAAAGTTGGCTGCAACAAGGCCCGCGACTCAGATAGCTCGTCCTACACCCCGAACGACTCCAGACCTCCGCCGTTTGACCCTAACCCCCTAAACCCTAAACCCTATCAGGGTTCAGGGTTTGGGGTTTAGAGTTTAGGGTTTAGGGCCCTAAACCCTAAACCCTGACCCCGTCCGACCTGGTCCCTGCCCTGGATTCAGACGCTATCGCGAAGGATGAAGGGATCCGGGTCTGCAAACGAAAGGACACAACCCAGTCCATCAACTCCCCAGAGAGCCCCATACCCCCCAAAATAAGGAATATACCTTAAATTGTGGGGGCCTTAATATTATGATTTAATGTATATTCCTTAATTAAGGGGGGTGGGTCGGCCTCAGGACGCAAGCTCCCTTGCCTTCGGGCTGCTCTCACAAACTCTCTAAATGCCTGCGCCGGCGTCATGCACCCATGTAACTAGGCTGAGAGCTGAATTGACCACAAGGTCTGCGAAAGAATCTACAAAGAGTCGTGGCATGTCGCACCTGCAGCTTCGAATCGAAATAGTCCTTTCCTGAGGGCTGAAGGGGTTCTTTTTGGGGGGTGGCAGACTAGGGAGACCCCTTAAAGGAGACCCTTCTTAACCCTACTTATGGCTCTCTAAAAAGGAACCTTATCGAGAGGGCGTATATCCCCACAAGGGTCCCAATAGGCATGTTGCAAGGCTTCTTGTTGGAGGAGGTGGGTTGCGGTCAAAGTCCCTAGAAGCCAAACCTCCTGCATCGTAAGCCACATATTTCGACGCATAGCTTTGAAACCGAAGCCCTGGAAGAGGGCTACAAGCCCGGAAGAATCCAAATGCACATCTTAAAAGGTTTAGGGTTTAGGGGTTTAGGGGTTTAGGGGTTTAGGGTTTAGGGCCCCCGAGACCTTTGTCGATCACTACTCTGCCACACTACGCTGACACTCCAGTGAAAGGAAACTACAGGTGAGGAGTTTAGGGTATATAGGGCTTCTGTAAGGCTTCTACAAGGTATATAATGACCTTCTATAAGGCCCCTGTAACGGAAACTACCCACCTGAAAATGTTCTAGATAATGTCGGGGCCTTAAAGCCTTAAGAATTAGAATAGGGTTTGGGGTATATTATACTATACTTATAAGGTACCCCCCAAAATCCAAGATCCAGTCCCCAAGCCGAATTTGCCACCGCGCATCGGTTCTGCCAGGGTGGCCTTCGCTCGACACCGGGCCTCGCAAGCTCGGCTTAGGCGGCGCAGTAGTTGGAACAGTACCAGGGTTTAGGGCTTATAGGGTTTAGGGTGTAGGGTTTAGGGTTTAAAGTTTAGAGTGTAGGGGTAGGCTCATACCCTGACCTTTGTTTGGATACCTACTGTTCTATATAAACTAACAACAGATCCTAAAACTACCCTACCCTATTTTTTGGATACCTACAACAGATCATAACAGATCCTAACCATGAAGCTCGGTACCTTAAAACGGCGTAGGGTATGACCCTCCAGGTAACCGCATGCACGGTGGATTACAAATTGCACAGGTTGCTGCAGCCCTACAGTAGTGTACTACATCAGCATGTGCCCTCGACCCATATGTTTGTATGCGCATGTGCCGTACTGTTTGCAGATGTTTCTCTAGCTTTCCATTTGAACGTGCACATTCCTTGGTCCTCTGTCGATCTATCTATCTGTCTATCCGTCTACCCGTCGATGTGTCGGTCGGTCTACCCATCTATCCGCTGTATCTTTGAAATCTCTCTCCACCTAATGGTTTAGGGTTTAGGGTTTAGGGTTTGGGGTTCAGGACCTAGATCCCTACCAGCATCTACTGTACCTGTTCATCTATTTATCGGACTGAAAGTTCACTGATCCAGGTGAAAGCAACTGTGGAACGGGGGGGGGGTTCTCGGCATGAGGCGGGAACGCGAGGTCGGTGGACAGCGGTGCAGATTGAGTCAAAGCTCCCGTTCTTGCAAGTTGGTACGTAACAGGTAGATATCTGGGCAGATGATGTCCCGAAGCCACATGGCCAAGAAGCTTGAGTTCAAGGCTGAAGACTTCACGTCTGACCCGCAGAAACAGTTCCAAGAAGATAGACATCAAACCTGTTAAGCCCTTAAGCTTGAAGCCCTGAAACATGCAGCGGTCCAAGGAACGGCAGCCAATAGCGATCCCCTCGAGGGCCGGTGTCGATTTTCCAGCCTGCCCCACTCGACATCCCCCCCATGATCTGCCAGGGTTTCTAGAAGTGTATGTACTTGAGCCCCCTCGTTGAAAAGTCCCCTGTTTTCCGTCGAGTTTTCACACCGGCATGCGGAATCATCTCAACTCTCCACATGAGCAGACGCCTACAAAAGCCGTAGAACACGACAAAAGGCCGTAAGCAATACGAACATCACCTTGGAGAATCATCCCAAGGACCTAGTGCTGGTACTCACGAAGGAAACACGATGCCAAGCGAGTCTGCCAGGTCAGCCCCCCTTCGCAGCAGTCAGCATCTTGCGCGTGGCTCCCGCAGGGCTCTTTTGCTTCTCTGCCTCTGCCGACTCCGAGGAGCCATTCCCTGATCCCACTGCAGCAAACAGCTCTGCTACGCTACTCGTCCAGGTCTCTGCAGAAGCCACCGTAGGACTTTCGCGCAAGATTGATGAAGCCGTACAGGAACCTGCATTCTTGCATGTTCGATGGGTACCATTCTAGTATGAATATAATATAACGAAAAGTAAAATAAATAAACAAATAAATAAATAAATATAAATAAATAAATAAATATATATATGTATATAAGTTATGTCTATCTCTATTTGTTTACAATATTTATGTGTTACATGTAAACATACACATGTATGCACAGATCATGCATGCGCATGCACACTTTGCTTGTACTCTTGATGCACAGGTCGGCAGATTTAATTTCCGATGCACGTACGGTGCTCTATAGAAACTACCGACGTCCATTCAACCGCTTGTACTTTTGTAAATCTCGCTGAGAAGCTGCATGGCATGTCGCCCTGTGTCGATATGTAAACCCTAAACCCGAAACCCCTAACCCCTAAACCCTAAACCCCGTCTAGCACGGGAAAGACAGGGGTTTCGGTCCGCCGGAAGGCTGCTTCCGATGCGTGCTTTTGAGCAGCTCTTGCAAACCCCATACCCCTGAAAAACACGCCAGACAACACTCCAACCCAGAGAGCCCAATACCCCGTAAATAAGGAATATACCTTAAATTATAGGGGCCTTAATATTATATGGTTTAAGGTATATATTCCTGAATGAAGGGGTATTGGGCTCTCTGGGAAGCACAGAGCTTGGAGGAGGAAGTGCCTTCAGCCAGAGACCTCTGGATTCCAACACTCGAAGAGTCTAGACGATTGGAAAGTTCAGGCTTGCAAGAGAACACCACCCGAACGAAAGATGGGTTCCCCCTAAACCCTAAACCCGAAACCCTAAACCCTAAGCCCTAAACCCTAAACCCTACACCCTAAAACCTAAACCCTACTAGTAGAACTCAAAAGGCACATGATGCCGGCCCAAGGGGGAAAGTCTGAAACCTGAGCGGCCCGAGGGACTTGGACTGGCGCCGCAGGTGACCCAGTGACACGTTCTGCACGGCGAACTCTTGTTCAGCTGCAACCTCTCTGGCAGGGTTTAGGGTTTAGGGATTTAGGGGTTTTAGGGTTTTAGAGTTTAGGGCCTGTAGGTATAGCACAGCAAAGCAGACCGATAAGCCACATTCAATCATGCAGGTTCCGTAAAGCTGCTCATGTTCCGGCAACAATGAAGGCAGGCCCAGTACCCGTACTGGCACCGGGGACTACCATCGGGTGCAAAGGCAGAAAATGATGACCCAGCAAGCAAACAAACATGACTTGGTACACATCTTGCTCCATCAGTTCTGTCTTCACCCTAAACCCTAAACCAGGACTGCTCCCCTGAGCACCTCCTCTGCACCGGCAGTGCAGGGCTCAAGGTCACAGATACCGCGGCAGCAAAGCCCCTGGGCCACGGTCTCATTACCTGTGAGGGCAGCTCCCAGAGAGCCCAACTAACCCTTTAAATAAGGAATATATACCTTAAATCATAAACTTAAGGCCCCTATAACTTAAGGTATATATTCCATACCTTAAATTACAGGGGCCTTCATACTATGGTTTCAGGTATATATTCCTTCTTTAAGGGGTATCCTGGGCTCTCTGGGAAGCTCATGGCTTTGGGGTTCAGGGGCTTTTTTCGTGCGGCTTGGGACGGGCTTAGGATTCCTACAGTTGATGATATAAATCCTGCAGTACCCATAGTAGGGGTTAGGATTAGGGGGACCCTTGGGGATATAGACCCTCTCAATAAGGTCCCTTGAGGGCCACAAGTAGGGTTCAGAAGGGTCCCCTTTAAAGGATCTACCTAATACTACCTAGGAGTAAGGAATATACCATCCAGGACCCTCCTTGTACCGGAAATACCCAAATGAGGGGTATTTAGTGTCTCATAGAGGGTAGATGGAGGGTTTAGGATAGCTCCCATAGTTTAGGAATGCAGGATTTATATCATCAACAGCATGTCGGTGTGCGGCTCAGGGAGCTTGGATCTTAGACTCTTGGGAGGCAGATGGAGAGACCCTGCAGTGTGCTGGGTTCATCAACTGAAGCCCAGGAAGTCATGTCAACTGCTGCCCTACTTTGGGCCCATATTTAAAATTATACTTTTTTAATCCTTCCTTGGGTATATACTTTAACTAAAATGTAAAAAACCCTAAACCCTAAACCAACAAGGATCCAGTCAAGCCACCCCTGGGCCTTACTCTGCTCAAGGGGGCACCGCCAATCGGCTCGCGGGGAACGGAAAAACAACCAGGTACGTCTAAAACGCTTCGATGATACCTACTCATAGGCCCCTAAGTAGTTCCTCTTTGGGGATTACCTTATAGGATTCTAAATACAAACCGTAAAAGGGAACTACTTAGGGGCCTATGGGTACAACACATTCACACTCCAGATTTCCAGCGCGTGCATAAGTTATACTGTTTCGGAAGAGCTGCTGAAGCCGGCAAACTGCAGGAGAACGCAGGAAGAACCTGGAACAGTCTGACGGGGTTGAGGTGGCGGGACGGTGTAAAGTCTCATGACAGGCACAGTCTAGGACTCAGCTGATTGATGCGCCGTCTGCCAGCAGCACGTTGAACAACGACAGGCTCTCGAAACGGCAGCACAGCGCTTCTGGACCCCCCCCGCCCCCGCGACACTGAAAGCTCTGACGGATGTGCACGCCTGGCTTCTTGCCCCGGCAAGCATCTGTGTTCACCTCGCAGTAGCAGGCAACGAGCAGGCAGCTCTAGGATCCGTAGGATCCGGACTTCACCAAGCCCCTACCTAGACCCCAAAGAACCTACCTTTTTAATAAGGACGTATAACCATAATAAGGAACCCTAAAAAGGGAGGTTCTTTGGGGTCCAGGTACAGCTTTTTGATGTAGCAGGAGGGGCAACCAAGCATCTGCCAGCTTAAACATCTGACACAAACGACAAAAACACGACCACACGACAAAACGACACAAATACGACACACACACACACATACACAAACAAGAACAGGGACAAAGACATCTCCCAAAGAAGCCTGGCGCAGCTCTCAGTTTCCTTCCTGGGGGCCGTTCCCAGAGAGCCCAATACCCCTTAAATAAAGGAGTATATACCTTAAATCTCCAAATTATAGGGGCCTTAATATTATTATGGTTTAAGGTGTATTCCTTAATTAGGGGCCATTGGGCTCTTCCTCGAAGAACGGCCGTGGAACTGACAATCTCAAAAACCAAACCCAGATCCGGAAACAACTTGTAGGCGGCTACTGAAACCTACACCCAAAAATCTCTATGAATTGCCCAGAGAGCCCAGTACCCCTTAAAAAAAAGGAATATACCTTAAGTTATAAGGGGCCGTAATATCATGATTTAAGGTGTATTCCTTGATTACGGGGTGTGGCCTCGTCCAACTTCGCGCCCAGGGAAGCAGCCATGAGCTGGTCGCTGCTGAAATCCTTGGGTCCATTCAGCGAAATGGGCTTTAACTGGGGTCTCACGCGCTGGAGCCCGGACAAACCGATATACCCCTTAAACAAAGGAATAGATACCTTAAAGTACAGGGGCCTTAATATTTTTGGTTTCAGGTCTATTCCTTCATTAAGGGGTATTGGGCTCTCTGGGTATGCTCTCGAGCACAAACCGATGCGGCCTTCGAGAACTCCTACTGATTCTAAGGCTTCCGGGCTTTAACTCGAGGCTTTAAGGCTTCAGGCGGTGATGGCTGTGCGGTGAGGGTATGACGGGGTGTTTTTAGGCTGAAAGCATAGAGTCTGCGTCTCCAGTCAGACGGTTTAGGTTTCTAGCGGCGTCGTGTTCTTGCGATCCGCTTTCTAGAACTCAACAACGCGAATCCGATTCTCGAAGCTCCAGGACCGAGTAAAAAAAACTACATACATCCTCGGAGTCTCGCCGGCAACGAAAGAACCAACGGCACAATGCACCGACCCGAACCCGAGACACACCATCCTGTTTTCAAAACTTCAAGCTTCCGAGCCCCCTACGCATGGCACAAGGCCTCATGACCGAAACCCGAAACCCTAAACCCTGACATCATGATGCCGACAAGGTGCCCCCTGCCCGGGCTGCCAGACACGCAGCACCTGGTCGGCAACAGGTCCGAGGTTTCAAAATCAAGCACTCTCTTCTTCAATAGACGGGCTTTTTAGGATAGACCTAATATATAAGGCCAGAAAGTTTAAAGTTCTCCTATTGGCTATCTAAGAGCAAGCTTGGGTTGGAGGTATTTCGTGTGGATTTATTTGCAAGCTCCTGCTTGAGTGGATTTCGAGTCCACGAGTTTACCCATAGGCCCCTAAGTAGTTCCTTTTTGGGATTACCTTATAGGATTCTAAATATAAACCATAAAGAAGGAACTACTTAGGGGCCTATGGGTAGCCTATAGCTCTACTATGAAGTGCGTCTGTGGCCTTCGCCCCATGCTGGGCCCCTTAAATAAGGAATATACCATAAATTACAGGGGCCTTAATATTATGATTTAAGGTCTATATTCCTTAATTCCCTTGTAGAACCCTTATAAAGACCCTTATAGATCCCGTAAAGGAACCCTATAATATTTAAGGTATATATTCCTTAATTAAGGGGTATTGGGCTCTGGGTCGTTCTGGCTGCCCGCCCAACCGAGGCGCAGCGAAAGACAGCACACTGGAGAGGCCGTAGACGAAGATGATGCTCTGGCCAATCATGTCCTAGGAAAGGCTCACTTTACCCATAGGCTCCTTAGTAGTTCCTTTTTGGGATTACCTTATAGGATTCTAAATATAAGCCGCAAAAAGGAACTACTTAGGAGCCTATGGGTATAAACCTCAATATCAGAAAGATTGTACCGTCATCCTGAGGCATATCCAAGCAACACCCTGAAAACCCGCAACCCCAGAAACTCATGATCGTCCCGACCAGCTGCAACTCTCTACTCAGACCGTGGCTCGGGATAGCCCTGGTTTTAAGCCACCCTTCTTCCTCGAAGCCCCATTACCTGGACCCCCAAAGTATGTAGAATAATAGCCTTTTATAATTATAGGTGTTGGGCCATTATTTTCCCCACTTTTTGGGGGTCTAGGTAGCACGCGCCTAAATGCGAAACACCACAACCGCACACCCATGGGGATCTTACTGCACTGACAGCTAGCAGTTGACTCTCGCCCTTAAACGCCTCCAAACTGAAGCATCATAATAAATCTGGGCACTGCGATACGCACCAGGACAACATAGCTGCCCAAACCCCTATAGCTCTGCAGTAACGGAATGTCCAGAAAAATGAAGAAACAGCAACACTTTGATCTCGTGAGCCCACTCATGTAATGCTTTTCCAAATGCAGGCACACGAAGGTGCTGCTGGAGCTCCTCGTGGCCCAAACATCCAAGGCTATCGAAATCAAATGTCAAACATCTATACATGTACACCATATGTGGCAAACCAGGATGAACAGAGTAACAAAGCGATGAAACAATCGTGCCCCGGAGAGATCGCTGGAGGGCGCTCTAAGCCTACGCACCTACATGGCAAACTTGCGGCGGGCAGAAGAAGGGCACCGACAAGCGGGAAGAAGAAACACCTAGACCCTCCATCTACCCTCTATTAGACTCTAAATACCCCTTCTTTGGGACCATATGGGGGTTTCCGAAAATAGGGGACCCTAATTAATATAGTACCCTAAATAGTAGGATCCTTATTATAAGGACCCCAAAATAAGGTACCCCTTATTTTCGGAAAGTCCCATATACCCCTATTTGAGGGTAGAAGGAGAGTCCGGCGCTTTGATGTCCCTCAACGCTACCATGACCAGGTACGGGCGGAGCTGTAGGATGGAGCTGGCTCTCAATGGATAGGCTGAGTGCTTGTTAGGGGATTTAACTTTTCATTTACTATAATAATAAAGAAACCATAATAAAGAAACTATAGATCCCAATTATGGTAACTTAAATTAAATCCCTTAACAAGAACCCAGTATGATGTAGAAGCATAGTGATATATAGTGGCTTTGGTGCTTGCAGTGGATTGCAAGCATCCCTAAACCCTACAGGACCTCATCCCCTGAATTTCTCGATTGCCAGGATCGCATCCGCCAACAATCTGTGCACATACCCAAAAAGCACAACACTCTCGAAGTCCACGCTGCCAGCGCTTTGGCGAGCAGGTCCAGGGACTTGTCAATGCTTGTGGACAGGGCCAACGTGCCTTGGAGTTCTTGCCTAGGGGTGTTCTAGGATTCCAGGATGTGTTGCGGTGTGGGCTTTCAAAGAGGTATCAGTTGAGTGTAGAAGTTTCAATGGGACATATCTCTCTGGAGTGCAAAAGCCCAAGCGCTGCAGCGGTGAGGTCTACCCATCGGCTCCTAAGTAGTTCATTTTTGTTCAGGGGTTAGAGATTAGGTTTTTGCTTTTTTCTTTTAAGGGCCTTTTCTGTCGCCCGAGAGGGTTTAGAGTTT